CAGGCCAGGCCACTGGGCTGAGGGGCCTAGCTGTTCTGTTTGCTGCCAGGGGCCTGTACATCATTGGAGGCTGACTCCTTCCCCAGGTGGCTGTGGACAGAAGGGCGGAGGGACCCCAGCTTAGCAGTCTGGCCGAGAGTGTGCACTGGTCTTGGAGGTAGAGGCAGGAGAGGTGGCTTAAGGACTCAGGGGGGAGCACCTGAAGGAGACAAGAAGAGTCAGAGAAGAGGAGAGAGAGGCACAAGGAGACAGACAGACAGACAGACAGACAGACAGACAGAGGCAGAGAGAGACACACACAGAGAGAGGTCAGAGAGACAAATAGAAAAAAGATAAAAAGAGAGACAGACACAAAGAGAGAGACAGAGAAAGACAGCTATAGACAGAAACAAAGAAAGAAACAGGGAGACAAAGTGTGGGACAGTGGGCAGGCCTCAGAACCATAAAGCTGCACTTAGAGAGAACAGGTAAGTAAGCACAAGACCTGAGCTGTGTGGTGTCTACTCCCCCCATACCCCTGGGCCCTAAGTCTTGGGAAGATATGCTGTTCTCAGGTAGTGGACATAGGCTAGGGCCCAGCACTGGGGGCTAGACTGGGGGTTTCTCATTCATAGAGATATAGGGACAGGGAGAAGTCACAGATGGCACTCTATGGGGGAGAGACCTGAGACTAGTAGACATTGCCTGTAATGAGTGACTGGCAACCTCAGTAATGAGAGGGTGGTCTATGGAATAGTTGCTGGGGGCAGACATTCACCTGCCAGGCCCAAGGTTCTGAGTGGCTAGCTACCCTTGTTGTTCTGTCTTATAGCTGCTGTCCTAACTAAAGGTTCCTGATCACCCTGGGAGGTCTCCGGCTAACGGCTGGACCACACTGCTCAGCAGGAACTCCTTTCACTAGCTGTCCGTGCCTGCTCCCCCATCTCTCTTGGCCACAGTAGTTCACCCTAGTGGGGGCGTGGAGCAGAGGTGAGCACTGATGTACAGCCCATAATAAGTGTGAGTCACTGAACAGAAGATTTCTAGGAGGAGGGGGTGAGTGGGGAGGAGAATGGAGTAAAGAAAGGCAAATGAGGGGTGCAAGGAGGAAGAGGGGAGAAGAAAGGTGAGACTGGAGCTAACATCATGAGTGTGGGTGAACCCAGCAGCCACACCACGGGGAAGGGTGGCTTAGAGGATCCCTCTCCCATAGCACCCAGAGTCCCAGCTTCCAGTTAGGAGATAGCATATACAGCTGCAGGGAGAACGGCTGCCAAATGCCTCAGTTTCCTCATAGGTACACTGTAGGAAGAGGCGGGGAGCTAAAGGCAGGCTGCGGGAGCTCACAGCAGGGGGGCAGGGATTGACTCCCCTTGCAGCTTCAAAGAAAAGGAACTTGTGGTTAGAGAGCTTGGGCAGTCTGGTGGTGGTGGTAAAGATGACGACGTGTTCAGGGAATGTTTTCACACTCTTTCAAAAAAAAAAAAAAGCCAAAGAGGAGTTTCAGTGGCTCTGAGGCATGCCAGGTAGAAACAGGAGCCTAAAAAGAGTCCCAGCGGCATCCACAGGCTGCATAGCATCCCTTGCCTGGGAGGGGTGTGTCAAGGGGTGTGAATTCGTGTGAGACGATCTTTGTGTGTGTGTTTGTGTGTGTGTTTGTGTATGCGAGTGTTTGCATGTTTGTGTATGTGTGCATGTGTGTATATGTATGTGTGTTTGCATGTGCATGTATGTGTGTGTTTGTGTGTGTCTGCGTGGGTGCACATGTGTTTGCATCTGTGTATATGTGTACACGTGTGTGTAACTATTCAAAGCCAGGAGTTACTCATCTCAACTGGAAGGCAGTGAAAGACTCCAACTCTCAGGACTCCCATCTACTTGTAGAGAGGACCCTGGAGCAAACAATCTGCACACACTGAGACCCCATGAGCAGAGAATTCCCTGGACATTGTCTGGTTAAATCTTCCTCGAGGAAGGCAATGTTTTCACTTGGTGAGGCTTGGGAGGCAAAGTCTCTAAAACCGTGAAGGGAAGGTTCCACTGAAGCTTCAGGGTCAGAGTTCTCCCCCCCACCCCAGGCTCTGCTGCTTCCCAAGGAGGTGACATAATCAAGCCAAGTGACTTCTAGGTCTGTGTAAGTCCATAGGTCTTATCTTTGTGCTCAACCAAAAGGCCCTTTACCCTGAGGATGGTAAGACTGCCCACCAGAGACTTGAGTCTGTTGAGAATATGGCACAGGTGGGCAACATTCCTTGTCCCAGGGGATAGCTCACAGCCCTTTGGCCCATATGATTAAGAGGGACCATGAGTGAATTCAGAGTTGTGGTGACTCCAGTGTGAACTGTGCTGAGAAGCTACAAACCCATCAGCCCCCTGCCTCGGCGCCTGGTGAGCTGCTCCATTCTGGTATCGTTCGTGCTGCTGGGACACAGCAGTGAAGGGAGCCCGAGTGTCTCCGTCTTCCCAGCACCACCTGACCTTCTGTCAGATGAGGGTCAGGTTTCATCCTCGGCCACACAGATAACCCGGCCCACCAATGTGAGGTCAGGCTGGGGGACTCTCCCATTGTTGCTCAGCCCCACAGGACTCCCTGGACTATCAGTCTAGGTGTGTGCCACCCAGGTACGATCCTGTAGAAAGTGTTGGGCCAAGTGACTTTCTTTCTCAAAGATCAAGTCAAATCTGTTGTCGACTCAGCTGTTTCCCAAGCACCAGGACTGGGTGATTCAAGGGATATGAGGGTGAGACTTGGGGTAGGGAACTAGAAGGAAGTAAAGGCACTGTCCAGAGGAGAGATGGCAAGTCCTGGGACAGTGAGGGCAGAGAAGCCCATAGCTGGTCAAGGTGGGGCTATGAGAGATGGACTGGATCCAGGAAGAGTGCTTCTTGGAAAATCCAAGAAGATGATTCTGACTGCCAACATTGTCCTGAGGTCTTGGAAGATGAGCTGAGTTGTGGTCATAGGATTTGGGACCTGAGAAGTGACCTGAGGAGGAAGAGGATGCAGAGTATGGGCTATAGACACTTCCATCTTCCTGAGCAGGGGGGATGCTTGGGGATGGCTAAACTCTGAAGAGATGAGAAGAAGAGATAGGAAAGGCCATGTGGAAAGGGAGAGGTGAGGAGGCTGAGGCCCCTATTCTGTCTGAGCCTGAGCAAGATCTGGGCACTGGGAGGCACAGGACAGTCACCGTGCCTTCTATTGTTTATTATAGCTGGGACACATCTGGTGAGAGGTGGGTGGAGCGGAGAAGGGGAAGGTTAGAAAGGAAGGCTTGGCTTAGATATCTCGTAGAACTTGGGGCCAGCTGCCCAGAGAACGGGGCTTCAGGCAGCCTGCAGCAGTCAGCAAAGGAGCCGAGGACATGGGCACAGAATGGGGTGGACTGGAAGACCCGAGGGACAAGAGGCAAGGAGCAGCAGCCTGGATGCAGCAGGGACAGCAGACTCATGTGTGGTGGGAGTGGGGGTATGAGAACATGTGGGAACAGGACTTCAATACATGTAGTCCAGCCTACTCACTACAGGGAGCTCACCCAGGAGTGTGTCATATTAGTAGGGGTTCATGTGTGTAAACAATGGGTGTATAACTTAAGAAGTTCAGAGTCTAGCAAGATGGCTCAGCCAGTTAAAGGTACTTGTTGACATGACTGACAACCATGACATGGTTCATGAGTTTGAACTCTGAGACCCAAATGGTAGAGGGAGAGAAGTGATTTCCATGAGCTGTCCTTTGACCTCCACACATGTGGCATGTGCATGCCAACATACATGCACACACAGGTAAATAAGTTAATAAATGTAATAATAGTTAAAAAAAAGAAAACTCCAACAGTTTAGAGACCACAGGGGCGATAAAGGTGTTCTGGGTGGCTATTATCCTACCTGGTTTATTCTTTGTCAGGCATATCTGCTGTCTACCTTGTTTTAAGCCTCCATGGATTGGTTCTGTCCTCTCCCCACATGGCTTTAGGTCTCCTCTTTTCTTGGGTGGCTCTTACTCAGGGACTCTGGCTGGCCACATCCTGGTCCCACAGGACAGGATGCTGCCCACACACTCATAGCCCAGCCTGCCTTCCTCAGCTCTGTTGCCAGTGCTTACCAAGATATAAGCTGCTCAGCATTTGCAGGATGAGCAAGGTGACCAGAGACCCCCTCACCAGTCCTGGCACCGGGCCCACACTGCAGTGACATACCTTACTTCCTGGTTCTTGGCCACTTGACTTCCAGTTTATCAGTGATTCACAAGAATAAAGCAGAATCAGACACGAATCCTGTAGACCTCCAGACCCTCATGGTTAGAGCTTGCAGAATCCATGGAGACCTCACACCTGGCCTCCCAGAGGCCGTTCTACCCCATAATGTCTTAAACCAGATCCACCAGTCTCAGCCTGTTCACAAGGCAGTGGTAGCTAAGTCACTTAGAAGCCAAAGTCCCAAATGCCTTTGTGGTCCGTTCATCCGTCCAGGAATGCCCATGTCCCTTCCTACTCCCAACTTATGTGCTCTCTCTTGTACGCCCACCTCCGCTAGGATGCCCTCTAGGAACCCATTGCTCACTTCACTTCCTCAGAGATGCCCTAAGGATCTGACCTGACTAAGCCACCCTGTACCTTCTTCCTGTCTCCACCTCCATGTGTGTCACTGCCCCACAGAGCAGACAACGTTTTCACACCCTTCCTTTCCCCAGCACATTAGATAGGAATGTATCGTTCTGTTCTTGTCGGGATACCCGGACAGTTAGAATGGTCCTGACTCATGGTCAGCACTCAGCGAATTCTTCTTAGATGAATGAATGGACATCTGAGGGGAACTTGGCCGAATGGTGCTCAGCCTTACATATGAGGCCCCACGGCCTTCCTCATCCAGGGCCCTCTTTGGACCCCACATCCCAGAGGCTTTATACCACATAAAGCCTGGGCCCTTCTGTTGTGAGATGAACACCTCTGGGCTGATGCTCCCCCTGATGATAGGAGAGTCCCCTAGCCACCCTCTAGCCCGGCACACAACCCCAGCGGTACCTTCAGCAGCCACTGAGTGTTATTCTCTAGTATCTTCTCCAGCTGGCTCACACGCTGGGCCCGCTGGGCCCGCTGGGCTCGCCAGTCTGTTGGGTGCAGCTTTGAGGCAGGCAAGTCCCTCTGGAGGCTATTGGAGCCCCCCAAAGACTCGGGTGCCACTGGCGCTAGCTGGCAGATATCAGGCTCCGGCAGCACAAAGGTGTAGCTGCACTGGCCGTGCTGGACCCGATGAATCTGGCGGCGCCCACTGGCTTCTGGCCCTCTGTGCTGGGCTGCAGCCATGGTGGCCAGCAGGATGAGGCCATCTAGTAGCATAGCTGGCTGGCAGGGCATCTGAGACCAAGTGGTGATGGGATGGTCTTGTCAGAGTTCCCAGGGCAGGTAACTACCCACAGCCAGAGCTAGCCCAGATGTGCTGTGCAGCTGGGGCCTGTGAAGACAGACCTGGATGCAGAGTCCTACTGCTGTAAGTCCCGAGGGCCAGTTCCTCTGGGCTATTTATACTCAGGGCAGCCACAGCTGCTGGCTTCCCCTCTGAGGCCTCGCCTCCTGCTCCCCCCCCTCCCCAGCCACCTCTGTCCTCTCTCTGTCCCTTCCTGCCTCTTCCTTCTGCTTCTAAGGCTTTGATTGTGCAGTGGGGCCTGTCCTCCCTGGCGGGCTCAAGGCCGCCCATGCACTCACACACGCACACTCACACACTGGACCACAGCTCATGCAAGGCTCTCTCCCAAGTGGGAAGTATCTGAGTCTCTTCCTCCCCTCTCCCCAGCTTTCTCTTCTCTCCACCCTTACCCCTGTCCCCCAAAGCCCGGTTCTCAAGTTTCAGCCCCTCCACCTTCCCCCTCTGATTCCAAGTTAGGCTTGGAACACAAGCAGTGACCCCCAGAGCAGCCTGGGGAGGGAGGGAACAAGGCGAGGCTGGGGAAACAGCCTGGAGACAGAAAGCTTTCCAAGGCTGGAGTAGAGTCCTGTGGGTGCCCAGCACAATTGGCTCCTGGCCTCCCTTCTCCCTTGGGGCCTGGGGTGGGGGCATTCTGCCCTGTGGTGGCTCTGGCTTCGTGGTGGCGCCAGGAATCAAAAGTCTCCTGGGTAGGTTGTCCCAGGACTTCCTGTTCTGGGTGGTAAGTCTTGGGCCAGGGGAGTATCCTGGCTAGTACCCCTAGAATCAGATGTGGCTGGCCCTGAATCTTACACTCCTGCTGCAAAACAGAGCAGGACCCGGCTCTTGTTTGAGGAATGCGTGGAAGTCCTGGCTGAGGGACTTGAGGAATTTTCAGTTTACTGTTCAAAGCCCAGCTGTGCTGTTTACCAGCTGTGTGGCTTTCCCCAAGTCTATTAGCCGCTGCGCTTTAGCTTCTTGAGCAAGGAAAGTGCCAGTACCCACCTACTTCACCGAGCATGACAGTCATTGAGTCAGGTCGTGTTGTACAGGGACATGCTGCAGAGGCACGGTGTCAGCATTTGCTTCTGTCTCTTCCTCCTTCAGATACAGCATTGAAAGCCTGAGAATGCAGGGATTGGTCTCTGGGGCCATGGTCATGACGGGTGTGGGTGGGGAACTGGTAGTTGCTTCTAGTGGGGTGCCTTTGAGTCTGTGCCTCAGGGTGCATGCAGCCCAGCTTCATGGTGTGTTTCCTCTCTTACGTATTTTTGAACTTCTGATGAATGGATGAATGAATGAATGAATGAATGAATGAACAAGAGTTCATTGGGGCCTGAGCCCTGGATCAGGTAGGACCCTGGCAGGAGGAAAAACAGCTGCCGATGAGGGCAGCAGGCAGCATTCCAGGTGCCTGTCTGCGAGCCAGAGCTCGGCAGGCCAGCTCTGCATTGGTTTCCTTGATCACAGATGAGGCCATGGATGCAGAAGCACATGAATTCAGAACAGGAGCGCAGCTCCGTGTATGGCCCGTGCCTGACACACAGGAGTGTAGGCTGAAGGTCAGCCATCATCATGGCTATTGGCTGACATGCTTCTTGACCTCAACGAGGCCTGCAGAATTCCTCTCTATTTAACTACAGTGAAAATCAAACCTGGCCCAGAGCAGCTGAGTTATTTGCTAAAAGGCACACAGTCTGGAAGACCTTGCACTGGATAGGAGTGGGAATGGAGAGAACACAGAAGACTCAGCGGCCATTACCCAGCCTAATTCCCGCCAGTGCTCTCTGCTTCTTACCCTTGGCAGCTGACAAGACCCTCAGGCCTCCCAGGTCCTGTCTACAGCTGACACAGGAAATAGGTCCTGTCTATAGCTGACACAGGAAATAGTCCTCACACCTCCTGTGGGGTGTGGTGTGGTCTCCAGATAACACTGGAAAGCCTCCTCCTGCACAGGAGACACCTCTGATGATGGAGAGAACAAATGAATGAGTGAATGAGTGAAACATGGCTTTGCTCTCTGCACAGGGCTTGTCAAATAGACACGGAGCTATGCGAACAGATCTCAGCAGAAAGAGGAGACAGTTGTACTTTAAAGAAGAACATCGGCAAGACCAATAGAAGAGCTGGGTCTCCATGCTGGGATGTCTACCCAGGGGCCCCACTGCCTTCAGCACCGCCCCCCTCCCAGGGCCTTTGCACATGTGAACATGCTGTGGTCTTTGTCCAGAGCACTGCTGCTCACCTGCTCTGCCCCTCCATTTATCACAGCACCCACAAGTCACCCCAGTGTGTGGTGGCTTTAGGTACAGTGGCCATCTGTCATCTCTCAGGTCAGGAGTGTGGACGTTCCCTGGGGCCCTCTGCTCATCTTCTCCACTGAAGCATGGTGGTTGGTCTGACTTTATTTGAAGGCTTTCTCTCTCCTCTGTCAACAGCTGACCTTCCCTAGCTGACCTTCAGAGATGTCACCAGCACAATGGCTTCATTTAGCCTGGTTTCTCATGTGGGCACTGAAGGATACCGAGACAAGCAGCTCTTGAGACCTAGAGTAAAGCCAAACTATCTGTTGTGTTTTATATAACAGAACAGGATATGTTTTGTAGAACTAGGTATTGTAAGGTGGGAGGGGTGTCTTGGTGGGCCCACACTGAAGCGTCCCTTCCCCCTGAGGTACCAGCCTTATGATGAGTACGGTATGGGATAGAGTTTATTTAGGGGTGTAGAAAGGGGAGCTGAGAAGGGAGTAGAGACAGAGAGAGTGGGATGGAGAGAAGAAGAGAGGAGAGGCCAGCCAGGAACATGTGGAAAGGGGGAGGTGGAAGAGGACAGGACAGACGGAGAAAGGGGTCAGGGAGAGAAGAGAGCCAGAGAGAGAGAGAGAGAGAGGGGGAAAGGGCGGAAGAGGAGGGAGAGAGAGAGAAAGAGAGAGAGAGAGAGAGAGAGAGAGAGGCAGAGAGCAAGGAGGGGACAAATAGCCCCTTTTATGGTAAGCCAGGTCTACTTGGTTGTTGCCAGGTAACTGTTGGGCAGAGCCTAGAAGGAATGCTACCACTATCTGTTGCTTGCCATTTGGCTTTAGAAATTATTTCAAGTATTTCCACCAAGCTGGGCTTAACATGCTATCCTGTCTTAGAATTCTCAATGAAAGCACAACAGGCTTGGCTTGTGTTCTGTGTTGGAGCCTGGGCTGTGTAGCTTAGCTTGCCCAGGCGCCATGATCTCACTCTGTCTCTGCCCTGGCTCCACATCCAGCCAACCTTGCTTTGTCAGTGGCCTTTGCACATACCTTCCTGTTCTAGTTGCATGCCCTGAGTCCACTGGCCTGTCAGGCCTGTGATTCTAGCTTCTTGTCTCTGTGGCCATTGCCAAGTTACATCACCTCTCTGACTCCATTTCTTCTGTCTAATGGACTAATAGCCACCATTGCCTGATAACACTTAAAGTTAGAAAAGGGAGCCCCACAGTCAATACCTAGTATGTATTAAATAAAGACCCTGTGGTCTAAGGGTTATTGGGCCCCAAGGTCATAAGTTGACCCCTAATCAAGTCTGTGTACCATATGCAAAGGCCTTGGGGGTGTGTCTAGGGCAGAGAAGGAGCTCAAGAACAGGATTAATAGCCATGGATAAAAGGCCCAGAAGGGCATGACAAGCTTGAAGTTTGGTCCTTGGTGGGGTACTGAGGAGAGAGGCGTATTGATATTAAATGACATCTGGGATTACTGAAGTGCAGAACATTGTTCTCAGATGCCTTTCCAGCTAGCACCCTTCTTTGGGCTTCCTGAAAGAACTCCAGAACTGAGAGTCAATGGTCTCTGCTACTTCTCAGCCTGTATGGACCAGAACATTCTGCTGTCACTCTAATGAGGACTGCCTGTCACTTTCTGGGAAGATGTGTTTGTCTGTTTCCAAAGTGGCACTCAGCAATATGTTTCCAAACTGTGTTCTCTTACACACAAATGCACACACACACACGTACACACACACATACACACACACACACACACGTACACACACACACACACACACACAGAGAGAGAGAGAGAGAGAGAGAGAGAGAGAGAGAGAGAGAGAGAGAGAGAGAGACTGACTGGACCTCTGTGCTGTAAGCTTCTGGCTTGAAGTACAAACTGGTGACTCACAGACCTCTGTGGGGCCTGCCTGCTATCTGGCTGGGTTCTCTGTGTATGCTCTGTCATCTGAGTTCAAGGCTGACATTACTGCAGAAAGCTATCCCTGAAAGTCACTCCACGAGCATCTTCCTTTCCTTGGGAGGAAAAGTACCTTGTCCATCCACTGCTCTGATGCCCAGGCCACAGTGTCCCCATCAAGGCATTCCCCTGACTCATAAGGTCTGCACTTAGTCCCAGGCTTAGCAACCTCTGCCTGTGGCTATTCTTTCTGTCTTAGCCCCTAGTGTTGGTCCAAGGGTCTGTTTCATAGAAACACGTGCAAGCGTTTACTGAGTGAATAATTCCCCACCTCTGGATAGGAGCTGGCTCAGTAACATCCTAAAGTAGAAACCTGGATGTCATCTTTCTCCTTCAGGGCAGGGGTGGCAGGAAGTCTCATCTGAGTTACTGAGTCTTTGTAAGTGTCTTGACTCCAAGTATAGAAAACTGACTGACACCAAGGTGTACTTTGACTTTACCAGCATGGAGGCAGAGTGTGGAGAATACAGTTCTGCCATTTAGCATGTTCACATTTGCTCAAACAGTTTGTCAAAAATTGGTGAGCGATACAGCTGAGAAGTTAAGCTCTAGTTTCAGACATGCTAGATCTAGATATTTAGAAGGTAGTAGAGATTTTTCTTTCTTGTCCAGGGTGATTTTCTTCTGTTGGCTTCACTCTCTGGCAAGCCCCGCCATGACTGCTGCCATCTTCTATCAAGTTGGTAGCCCTTAGAAATGAATACTTCTTTCTTGATAGCTTTGAGAACATTCCAGCTCAGGGCACGTAGCTGTTCCTGGACCATTCGCTATAGCTGAGGGCTGAGTGGGTTGCCCACACTGCTCTGCATGCTAAAGCCTGGAGCAATGGACCAGTCCTGATCTCTTGAGACTCTAGTAGTCTTCTTGGAAACCCAAGGGGG